TGGTTTACCTGGACTATAGCGGGGTCCTGAGGCAGAGAACATGTCGGTTTTGGCGGCTCGCACACCGTCAGGTCCTTGATGTCGCTGCCTCTGAAGATGATGTACTCGAAGGTGTCGTCTCGAGGAGGGATGGGTCGGTCGGTCGGGCGATCCTCGGTGCCGAAGGACCGGACTGACAGGAAGAACAGACCTCAGGTCAGTGTTTTACAGACAGAAATGGGCTTTAATCCACCTTTTACCTTTATCTTATCCGATTTTATTAGGCTTTGACAGTCGTAGTTTTGTTCATAATACCAAAGTGCTTTGACGTAGAAGTGAAGGACTGTGACTTAACTGAAGTGTCGGTACTGAGGCTGAGACCCGACAGTGACGTTTCATATATGAACTGATCCGACTGATTCACATGGTGATGATTTAACCCCTACACACATCACATCAAACACTAAAGCAACTATAAGGCTGAGACTGCACTACTTCATAAATCGTGTGATTAACATTTATATTCAAGTATAAGTTTAGTGACCGCAAATAATTCATTTTATTATTTCACAAATATATCTTTATTGCTTGTATTGTTATTATTTTATTTAAATGCTAGCATCCCAACGCCTAACAAATCTGTTGTTTTGGTAGGAATTAGCAGAATTACAAAAAGCCTGATATAAAGTTTTCTGATTGATTTGAGTCTGAGGTGCATCTTTTCTTTAATCAGGAAACGGTGGCTCTATGATCTATAATAAGAAAATATATATCACAGTGTTGGACTGAATATTTCTGTCGAATCACAGAAACACAAACAGAAAAGCACAGACTTTATTTGAAGCATCAGTTAATGTAATTTAATTCTAAGTCGCACAAACAACGAGACGATATTGGCATGAAATCGGTACCAGCCAACAACAGACTGTCTGAAAATGTTACAGAAAATTAATCTGCCATGTCTTAGATTTTGAGATAAAATATTATTTTGCAAAGTGACTCAGAACATTTTAAAAGCAGCGTATTGTTTCTGTTTGTCACCAGCAGGGACAAACAGAAACATGTTTTTCTAGTACATCAATTTCCCTGAAGTCTACACCGAAGGGATCAATGAAGTTTTATTCTATTCTACTCTATTCTATTCTACAATAAACAGAAATGAGTATAAATAAGGTGGTCAATATCTGCTCAGTAATTCCATCAGAAGACTGCTGTGAAGTCAATCAATGAGCCTCCAACTACTCTGATCATCAATTTATCAGTTTGAGGTTTTTTGTCTTTGTTTTTATTTTTATTTTTTTTAATAAAAACTAAATTCCACAGTTTCAGCTTCTTCAGTTTGAATATTTTCTGGTTTCTTTCCTCCTTTGAGGAAACTCTGATCCACATTTTGTAACTGATGAACAGATGTAGCTGGAAAATTGGCAGTTGTTCTGCGATCCAGTTCACCAGCATGAGAAAACAGAAAACATTTATAAAGCTGTAATCACACATGTTAGACTTGTTTTAAGTTTTAAAATTACTCACACTGATTAATGATTTTTTAAAAATTGTTTAATAGTCGAAAACTAATTAATTAGTCATTGCAGTTGGAGGGAAATGTTTAATCAAAAGCGAGAGCGCCTGATTTCAAAACGTACTTTGAAAGATTTATTTAGTTTCAGTCTTATTTCTGTTGTAAAAAACCCAAAGATTCCAACCCTGTGTTCTGCCTTATGGCTGATGTGGAGGCAGAAACCGAACAATGATGTGTGACGTGATGGTTTTACTGGATTTGACAAACATTTTCTCTTTTCTGCAAATATATCTGCTTTAAATATTGATTATTGATTTACTTAATCAGGAAAATCGGTATTGATCCTGAAACCACCAGATAAAAATATTCACATTAATGAACCTGCAATGGAAGAATAAAAATAACTCAAACCAATTAATCAAATACAAAAACAGGTGGTGGTGAACTCAGTTGCTGTCTGCTGATCGGATAATCGATCTGTATAGTCCGTGTGTCCTGACATTACATAACCAGAACTCCTCCAGGTTCTGTTCGGTTGCAGCTCATTAACCGGATAAAGCTGCTGACACACGTCTCATTAATAGTGTTTCGTCATAATCTCTAGTTAAACCAGGTGAGGACTCTGACGTCAGAGCAGGTGAAGCTGAACTTCACGTTACCGACAGCAGCGTGTTGTTTTCGGTCTGCACCGACATTTCACTGGCGGCTACCTGTTAGCTGACTCATGTCTCAAACTCACATCACTAGTTCTGTGTATTATGCTTAACTCTGCGTGCAGCTGTAGCCTCGCAGCTAACGTTCCTCCTGCGTTCCGCTCCGGCTGCGCTTCAAAGCTCGTCCGGCTGAATTAGCTTCCTGACGGATGTTGTAGCAGCGCAGCGCCTCGCCATGTTAACCAATGGACGTTAGCTCATGCGGACTAACCACCGGCTAACGCTCTAAATGTTGCGGTTCTGTGTGCAACCTGCTCGGAGCAGAACATTTGCCGCGACTGAATCACATTTTAATTAATATTTAATAAGCATGAATAAAAACTGAAAACTAACGGCGGGACCTCCGATGCTAGGCGGCTACATTAGCAGCGTGAGCAGCTACCTTTAGCCAGAGCCACGGTGGAGTTCTCCGTGTCGATGGTGTACAGGATTCCTTCGTAGCGGATCTCGGCCTTCGAGATCAGGCTGATTTTGCTGCCCAGATAAGGCGTCCCGCCGCTCATGGTGCCTCCCTTCAGCCCGGCGCTCCAGACAGGGAACAGAACAGACGGTCCCTCCGAACCGCACGGTGAGCAGAACCGATTCTAGAGCGAATCTTCCGGTGTGTTTGTGTCTCTCTGCGCCGCCGTCGCTGTTCTCCGCAGCTACAACATGGCTACCTCCTCCTCCATCGAAGGGCTCTGAGCGCGGGGGCTAACGAGACTTCATAATATCGCGGGACTTCAAGGCGCCGCGGCTTCTAGATCTGTGCAGGCTAGAAGAGCAAACACAGGGAAACAACAACAAGTAGTTTGTAAAGACTATATGTGAGTATTATTTAAAATAAAGCGTCGTCAGACAGGGAGTCAGATGATAGAAGTACAGAAACAGAATATATTTGCTGGTGAAAAATAGAAAAAAAAAAAACATAAATGTAACACTAATCTTTTTATTGGCCTCTTGTTTCTAAAATCTAATGATGGAGTGTTCAGGGTTCTTATTCATTTTGTATGAGACAAACACTTTTATTTTCTAGTCACAAGAATATTCCAATAAATATTCAACACCTGAACCTGTGACTTTATTAACGCAATATTTATCATGTTACTGTGTTTCATGCTGGCTCAGTTCTCAGTATAATTTTACTGATTTATGTATTTAAGCATTTTTCATTCCTTGTGTTGATTTTTTCATGTGAATATTCTGATGTAGCCCTGTGATAGACTGGTTACCTGTCCAGGTGAACCTGCCTTCACCCTGGATCAGCTGGGATAGGCTCCGCCCCCCACGACCCTAGTGAGGATTAAGCGGTGTGTAGATGATGGATGGATGATGTGTGTTGCAAGCACTTGTTTGCATCATTTTAACCATGTGTTTTAAATCATTTCTTACTCTTTTTGCTTCCAGAACAAACTGCACAGCATCAGGCTCCTGCTAGTGTATGATTTATGAAGATTAAGTCCACACGTCTGTCACACATGTAGTACAGTTACATGTGTGGCCGATGTCCATACTAAACAAACACTTCGTCATTCATTCAGAAACTAATGTAATCGACTTTATGAAGTTGCATTTAAAGGAGTGGATTTCAGTGTTTTGCTTATTTGTGATGTATGACGCAGCACTGGAGACACATTTCTGCTGATGACTACTTACTGTTTTAGTGAGACAAACATGTAAATGACGTTGTTTGTTGGTGGTTTTACCTGCAGACTCACCTGCACGTCCAGAGCCGTCGCTCCGCAGGGCTCACACAGATTCTGACTCTTCTTGTTCTACGCTCCAAAACGAGCCCGATCCTGCGCGCATGCGTACATTCTAAAATACGATTTGTACAACGGTCCAGCATCAAAGATGGCGGGAGCCTCCGACCCACTGGAGGACATGCTCTTCACCGAGGTGGACGAGAAGGCGGTCAGCGACCTGGTGGGCTCGCTGGAGTCTCAGCTGGGCGACAGGAAGACTCCCGCCGCTCCTTATTCCGACGGCAAACGGGAGGCAGCTGCAGCCGCTGCCGGCCACTTCTCAGGGAAAGTGCGCGATCCGGCGGGGTCCGCGGAGCCGCAACAAGGGCATCCGAAAGCGGGGTTAACCCCGGAGCCGGGCGCTAACGAGCCGCTGTCCGGGAAAAGCCTCCCCGCCTCTACCTCCGCTGCCGCCGCCGGGGCCGCGGTCACCGCCGGAGCCAGCCTGCCGGCCGTCGGAGCGACTCCACCGACTGTTTCTCCCGGACCGGGACCCGTAACTTTGAGCAGTCAGCCCGCCGCCGCTAGCTTCCAGCGGGCGGCTGTCCTGGGTCCGAGCGCGGCTCCCAGCGGCGCCGCGGCGCCCGCGGCGGAGGTCCGGACCTCGTCTCCCGGGGTGCAAAGTTTAAACGGCGGCGCCGTAAAGTTGGTGAACTCGCCCGGGGTCCCTCCGCCCGGCGCCGCTCCGCCCGCCGGGACCGGCTCGGTGGTCAGCGGGAGCTCCGCTATCGCCGCCCCCAGCTTCCCGGTGAGCTCCTCCGCCGTGGCCCTGCAGAGGCTCCCCAGCCCGGCGGCCAGCGTGGCCCAGAACGGGGTGGACCCGAAAGGAGCCCCGCTGGTGGCCCCGTCCGCCTCCAGCGCTCCGGTCCTGAACCACAGCAGCCCGCTGATGCACACCAAGATGCTGGTTCCGGGACAGCCCGCCTCCGGGAGCTCCGTGATCCTGACCAGCACCCCCCCACCGGCCGCCCAGTCCCCCATCAGCCAGACCCAGACTGGGACCAGTCCGGTACCGGCCGTGCCCCTGGCCAAGCCCGCAGTGAACGGGGTGGCCCAGCCGGCGGTGGCCCTGGTGAGGCCGCCCGGAGCCCCGGTGGTGGCCACCTCCATCCAGCCGCAGAGACCCGCGCTGGTGGCCGGTGCCGCCCGGGCAGCCGCCCCCCAGCCGGCGCTGGCGGTCAGGCCCCAGCAGCAGACCACCATCCAGCTGCCGCCCGGCTTCACCATGCCACCAGGTGAGAACACACACACACACACACACAC